CTTCACAGACATCGGTTTAACCAGATGATTCAAGTTAGCACCGCATTAACTGGGTCCAACTGACACGATCAGCCTTCTAATGTGAACCAACAGGAAGCACTGACCACCCAAGCGGGTTCCCCAAAAATGTTAACCTGAATCTAATCCCATGAAACAATACAGGAAGTATGAAATGTGGACAATCTATGACACAAAGTCAAGCAAATGTAACAAACTGTTAGAAATACGTAAGTTCATTGTCTATTTTTTCAACTTTTCTATAGTTTTGACCTTTTCATTAAATAAAATCAGTAAAAAAGATGTTCTGCCTTCAGTTCACCCCATGGCTCTGAGTTCAAAGGCTCAGTTGGAACATGTTCAATTTTCTCCCTAGTGTTCAGAAAATAAAAATCTAAGCTTCTCTACTTGTTGGTCAAGACTTAACATATTGGGACCTCACAGAAATTTCTAAGCTCATCTTCCATAAAACTCTGTAACTGAACCATCTCCGGCCACCAAGCTGCTGATCAAGATGAGTGCCAGAGGAGCCACTGGCTGGAAAGTCCTCTGTTCGGCCAGCAACATGACACACCCTCCACGTGTCAGGCCCTGAGCAAGGTCCCAGAAACACTGGGGCTGAAGGATGAGACACAGCAACTGGACTGTGAAGTTTACCTCCCAGGGAACCCCACACACTGGGCTTTTCTCACGCCTACATTGTGACATTGCTTGACTGTCATTTCTAAGCAAAAGCTCCTTCCCTATATATTTTGGGGGAAATTTATGCTTCACACAGTCCTAAAGCCTGAAAAAAGTATTAGCCTCTATTAATCAACCTAGACATGTGAGTGGTCAGAAGGAAAACACTGGCTTCAAGTCCATAACAAGAGCAAGAAACTACTAGAATTGCTGAAGGTTAAACCTGACAACTCCAGGACAGGCACTTAGGAAAGAAGTAGTTACAATCTAAGCTAGTTTTGCTTATTACTCTCTCCAAGTTATAGTAAGAAAGTGCTCATGGGCTTATCTTGCTACAAATGATGAGTCATTCTTGCAAATATTTGGTAATATATTTATACACATAGTATGTACAAATCTTACATATGGTATCTGAAAAATAAGCTTGGAAACAAAACCACCACTTAAATTGGAAATTTTGACCCATGATTCTGTTTAGTGCTGTTAACTTTGTTAAAAGAGCTATTAGATTATTCAAAGATTACTCAATAATGTTCAATGGCATTTTCCAGCATTTGACTATTTGAGAAATACAAAGAGATGAAAATATGGTAGAATTCGGAAACACAAAAATCAGAAACTGATCTGAAGTCTGAATTAGTAAAAGCAGTGTTACTTAGTAAATATAATGATTAAATAAAAATTGGGGTAAAGAATTATTATTAAGAAGGAAAATGGGACCCTCCCTGATGGTGCAACAGGTTAAAGCACAGCACTAGACGCTATCCTCAGCCACTGCACAAGTTCGATCACTGACCAGGGAGCTGACCCACGTGGCACAGCAGACATCTGTCCTGCCTGCTGCTCCCCTCAGCAGTGTATTTCAGTCAATCAGCCTGTTGTGGTCCCCATTTTGTCAATTGTGAATTCTCTCACCTCCTACACCTCTGGATTGTACCCCAGTTCTTATATACATAAATAAAATAAAACTTTAAAAAATAAAAAGCCTGAATAAAGACCCATTCAAGCACTCAGTCACTGATTCAGTAATGAATTTTGAATGAATCAGTATGCTCACAGAAGAGCTGATAGAGAAAAGGAGGCATTTGTTTGGGTTCTGACTATGATGCTTTGGATGTTGCCAACAAAATTGGGATCATATTAAAGTGAGTCTAGCTGGCTGATGCTAAATATAATTTTTCACCACGGTGGGGGGGGGGGGAAGAACAAAGGACAAGTCACCAACTGGGACAAAATATGGAAACCACACATGTGACAAAGAACTTGTATCCAAAGTATATAAAGAACTCCTAAAACTCAGCAATAAGAAAACAAACAGCCCAATTAAAGAAATGGGTAAAAGAGCTGAACAGATTCTTCACCTTAAGAGGATATAAAGATGACAAACAGGCACATGAAAAAGATGATCAACATCCTCAGTCATTAGGAAAAAAGCAAATTAAAACCACAATGAGATACCATTACATACCTATGAGAATGGCTACAACAAAACAAACAGCACCAAGTGCTGGCAGGGTTATGGAGAAACTGGAACTCCCGTGCATTGTTGACAGGATGCAAAACGAAACAGCCACTTTGGAAAATAGTTTGGTAGTTCAAACACAGTCTTACCATATCCAGCAATCCCAATCCTATGTATTTACCTAAGTGAAAGGAAAACCTATGCTCAAACCAGCATGTAAATGTTTATTTAGAAATGCCAAAAACTGAGACTAACCAGAAGAACGAACAAACATATCCTTAGCATGGAATTCTACTAAACAATAAAAAGGGACAAAATATTGCCACACACAGCAAATACATTTCAACACATTATGCTAAGTGAAAGACTCAAAGGACTATAATCTTTAGGATTCCACTTACATAATGTTCCGAAGAAGGCAAAGTTATAGGAATCTCTGAACAGAGATTGACGACTCGGGGAGATTTGACTATAAAGTAGCAACACAAGGGAACGTATGTTTAAATGGCAATAACACAATTCTTTATTTGGATTATGGTGATGGTTAATGACTGAATTTACCAAAACACAGAGAACTATATGCCAAACAGGATATATTTAAGTAGCTGGTAATTTAAAAACAAACTTTAAACACTTCACTTTAAAATAATCACTTTTAAATATTAAATATTTGTAGTAGTCTTCTCCCTAAACCATAATATGGCTTTTGTTTTGCATCCGTTTTGTTAGTGTTTGCTTCCTTTAACAATTTCTATTCCTAATTCTATTTCTAGTCTATGCTCGTGTCCTTTTTTCTTTTTAAAAAAGATTTATTAACTTATGCGTACAGAACTAGGGTACAAGCCAGAAAGTGCAGGGGCGGTGAGAGGATAACCAGAGACAAAGTGGGGAGCAGAACAGGCAGATGGATTAAGTCCACTGCTGAGGGGAGCAGCAGGCGACACAGCAGAGGTCTGCTGTGCCATGTGGGTCACCTTTGGGTTGGGACTGAACTCACACTGAAGAAGCTGCAGCTAGCTTGCAATGCTGAGTCCTAACCCATTTTGCCACCAGGGAGGCCCCTTGTGTCATTTATTCTTTTATAGAAACTCTGAAATTTTTACCAAAAGTTATAATCAGAAAAATAACACAGTTTATTATGGTCTTTCATTCTTACTTTAAAATTCATAAATACTATGCTATTATTTATTCTGTATTAAGATACAGAATAATTGATAATTTTGGGAATTTCTGGGTAATTCTATTCCTTATTCCTGAAACCTGAAAGTTAGTAACTGTTGGGATTTGCAAGCACCAGTCTTGGCACTCCCCAGGAAGTCTACACTGTGACCCATGGCAATCTTCTACTATATCCAGTCAGAGCCTCATTCAATTAAAAAATCATTTACGGGACTGATTTGGCTATTGACTACATGCAATAGCACTGATCTAGATTTTACAGGGGAAATGCCAAAGGAGTAAGACAGAGCACTGCCCTTGAGAGCGAGAGCACAACAGCTGTGTGACAGAGGACGCTCAGGTAGGTAGAGGAAAAAAATCAACTGAGGAGAAGCAGGGATGATTTTGGAGCAGATGTTATGACCCTTCTTTCAGAAGGGTGGGAAAGGCACTGCCAGGGAAGACCAAGGGGAGCCGGGCAAGGTGACTGAGAATGCAGAGTCTATCTGGGAACGGCGAGCTGTCTGCTTTGGAAGGGCACCCAGTTCTCTGAAGGACAGATTAAGGGGGCCAAGACATGGCTTGTCTTGTCTTGTCTTCCTAGTTACTGAGAGTAGACTTAATTCTGAGGCAAAGAGAAGCGATTTTGATGATCATAAAGGCACACAGAAGCAGAGACCCAGGAGAGGCTTCTGAAATAACGATGAACTGTGAGTATCTAAGACTGCATCCTATCACAGCTCAGCACTGTTCACTCTCAACTTTCCAGCATATCACATGTTCTCTGCTTCTGGCTCTTGGCACAGATAATTCCTTCTACCTGGGTCACCCCATTTCCTTAACCTAACAATTCCTCTCATCCTTCAAACCTCAGTTTACACGTATCATTTCTTCAGATAAACCTCTTGTAACATGCTTCTAAATAAAGTCCCTGTATTTCCCCAGGCATGGCCCTTTCCACACCTTCTTGCTGTTGAATTTTATGTATTTATTCTAGGGATGCACTATTTATTTGCTTGTCTGCTTGTTTTTAATAACAGGGTGTAACACACCCAGGCTAGCGTGCAGTCTGCTCATCTTACACAGTCCCATGCAGCTTTACATTTATACACTACCACAAAATTCTCACCCAGCTTAAGAGAGCAAACATTGCCAGGGCCTCAGGACACTTCTCATGCCCGTTCTATTCCATATCCCCAGCAAAAGGCGACGGCTATTCCTACCTCTGTCACCTCTTTTTTTTACCTACTGTGCATTCAGTGTCTTCTTCCTAGAGCTCGAGAGCTCAAGAACTCCTGCTGCTCTCCGGACCCAAAAAGTGCTCAAGATGAACAGGCATTTTTAAACATCTGCTTACTGAGATTAGACCAAGTTGGTGATGGAAAGAAGAGTGTCTGGGGATTCTGAACCTCTGCTTTGTGTCTACGTGTCTGTGTCCCTACTGGCCTGAAATGCCTCCTTACACATCCAGCTCATTCCTGTTCCCCACTCTTTGCTTTTGAAAAACACTGGTTCCAGCTTCAGCCCCTTTCAGGAAGCTCTCCCATTCTTACCCCTGGGGTATCGGTCACCCCACTCATGCTGAATGTTCTTTCTGGGAAGATATGTATTCACTTGAAGAGCCTGCTCCCCAAACAATCTGAATCTCTCGAAGGAGAGATCCTGTTTCACTCTTCATTAAATGAACACCAACCTCTCTTACCTCCTTATTGTGCAGAGTATCCTGAACTGCAAAAATCTCTTCTGGTCTGTCCTTACAGGGCTATGAAGGTCACACCTGGAAAGAGCTGTGAAGATAAACCACAGTTCACTTGATAAACATGAGACTTTTTTTTTTCCATTCATACAGAACTGGGGTACAAGCCAGAGGTGCAGGGGTGCAGGGGCAGGGGTGAGAGGATTCACCAATTCACCAGAGACAGAGTGGGGAGCAGAACGGGCCGACCGATGAAGTCCACTGCTGAGGGGAGCAGCGGGTGGGTCTGGAGAGGTCTGCAGTGCCATGTGGGTCACCTCTGGGGTTGGGGATCGAACTTGCACTGAGGCGGCTGCCGCCAGCTTGCAGTGCTGCATACTAACCCACTGTGCCACCAGGGAGGGCCCCTAAAAACATAAGATATTTTAACATCTAGTTACCTGAATGTTTGCTGGAAAAATCACTATATACATCATAAGTACAACAAAAGTTTTTAAAAAGGAATGCATTGGATCTGTAAGTGTCGATTTGGAAAGTTTCCTGGGATACACTTAAATGAAAAGAGCAAGGTGTTTGTTTGTCACTGGTCAGATCTGGGAAAACTGAATATTAAAATTAATAATAACAATAACTTTTTATTGTGCAATTACAATAGTGAGGCTGTATATAAAACAAATCATAAACATCAACTCATTTAATCTGTAAGTCTTTATTTGGAAAGTTTCCTGGGATACACTTAAATGAAAAGAGCAAGGTGTTTGTCACTGGTCAGATCTGGGAAAACTGAATATTAAAATTAATAATAACAATAACTTAAAAAACTAAAAATAGGGCCCTCCCTGGTGACGCAGTGGACTGAAGCACAGCACTGAGAATCTAAAGCCGCTTCCGCATGAGTTCAATTCCTGCCTGACCCGCCCGCTGCTCCCCTCAGCAGTGTACTTCGTCGATCTGCCTGTTCTGTTCCCCACTCTGTCTCTGGTGAGGCCTCTCAC